TAATTTTGTTATTTAAAATATTTTTTCCCCTTTATAATAAATCTTTGGTTTTCATTAACCACTGCGTGTACAAAACCTATAAATTCCATCGAYCTRACTCTYGAGCCAACACGCGGTGCGGTTTATAGGTCATGTGGTCAGTGTTCCCCTGATCACATGGGTGGAAAGTAAGTCCCTAAAAAGACCGAAATCTCACAAATTATAGTTATTTAACTATAATTAAATTTATAATTCAACTAAAATGTAAATAAATTGAAAATTTTGCATTTTAATTATAAATCCAATAAGACATTTTTAGACGAAAAGAAAAACGGCTGTACTCAAAACTTCCATCAAGTATTTAGTATAAATAATATTACCGTGTGATGCCGTTTACCTAAATGAATTTTTTTTTAAGCCATGTGATCCGTTTAATAAAATACCATCATTATTTACCATTATTAACCAACGTTTTTGTAAATATCTTTTTTAAAATCCTATACTTTGTTCCATAAGAGAAGACACAGACAGCCACAGGCAAAATTGAATTTGCTACGTGAAATTGGTCTTCTCTCTTGGAATGAGRTATAGTGTGCGACAGACTTGGGTGTAACTTGCTTAAACACACGCATACAAACGAACACACACACACACACACAGTAAGATATTGTAATTAATGCAATACCTTTGACGGCCATCGGGAACACCTCTCCACAAATGGCCCAAGGCATTGGGAGCATGGCCAACAGGGCAAAGAACACGTAGGCAATGAAAGCAAACACGAGGACCTCGCCATAAGGTGGCGTGGCCACATTTTTGTACACGCGCATGTAAACTATGATGACGGTCAGCGACAGGGCCATGCCACCGCCGGACACGACGACCAGTGTCTTCCGGCGGACGTGGTGCAGCATGGCRTAGACCACGCTACCGATGACTCGGGACAGGGACAAAAATGCGGTGACGGTGACGCCATCCCACTGGACGCGGCAGTCACGAAGTATGTCAACCGAGTAGACCAGCAGCACGTAAAACCCACAGCCCTGCTGGAAGAGAAAGAACATCAGGGTGATCAGAGCCGGCTTCCAGACAGCCGGCTTGGTGAAGAGCGACCAGTATGCGGTATTGGTCGGCTGTTCCGTGGCTGTAATACCATTCTCACCACACAGGTGATCGTCACCATTGATTATCAGCGTGCTGACCGGTGCCACAGTCAACGCCGAGACGGTCGCAACGGCTGGTTCCATGCACAGCCACGCCTCGGCCATGTCCGCTTCTCGAGACCGGTCGTGCGCCCGAAGCCACATGGGCGTCTCCGGTATTAAGAACAGCAGCGTGAAATTGATGGTGCTAAATACAAATAGTATGAATGACACGGTTCGCCATTCGAAGAATATGGACAGTATGCTCTCGGTTACCATTCCCATGCCCACGAATATGGTGACCACCGAGAAGTACAAGGGTCGGTACTTGGTAGGGCACACCTCAGCCAAGTACAAAAATATACACGTACCCGAACCTGTGGAATGAAGATACCGTGAACTTAGCTATAGGTAAACGATTTAATATTTAATAAGTCTAGTGCATAATAATTAATCCACAAAAATCGAAACCATAGTCTATTAATAAATTTTAAACACATACTTGTAAATCTTAAAACTCGATTTGTGGCTTACTTTGCTACCTGCAACTTGTCTGGCAACAGTGGCGTAGACGTAATTCCTGAAAGAGGGGGGGGTGGAATAAAAAAAAACGACATTGCTTTATGGGAGGGAAAAATCGGAAAATCCCCCACTCCTAAAATCAGTATTTAGCGAGACATTTGTGTGTAAATATTTTCGCAAATTGTAAATTATTAAATATAAACACTAGCTAACCTAACCTAACCTTACCACGATACTGTGCATTTTGACGCCTCCCGTTTATATAAAAATTCATTGAAAATTGTACAACCACGCAATAAGCCAGACATTTTCAA